CTCATGGATGTTCTTCAGGTGAAGAAAGGACAGATTCTGTTTATTCTAGAAGTCTTAAACACGACTCTAGATAGTCCTCTGTAGTTCATACCCTCTCATTTGGCTAAACTAGTCATTTAGCAGACGCTTTGTTCCTAAAATGACTTGCAGTACACTTATTACAGGGACAACTTTGAACCCTTCTGGAATGACCTGAGGTCAGATGTCTTGCCCAGGATCAGTGTTGCATGTAATCACTTGCAAAGGAACTAGTTACTGTAATTAAATTACTTTTTTTGCTGAAAGGGATTACTTTTCATTTTTAGGTAACTTAATGACAATTACTTATAATCTACTTGCCTTAAATACTGCCTCTAAATTAATTGCACATGCTTAAGATTATTATTTTTTTGCATGAAAATTAGATTGTGACCATGTAAACTCACTGGCCACTTTATTAGGTACACCTGTCCAACTGCTCGTTACGCAAATTTCTAATCAGCCAATCACATGGAGGCAACTCAACGCATTTAGGCATGTAGACACTTTGTCAATACGATCCACTGCAGTTTAAACTGAGCATCAGAATGGGGAAGAAAGGTGTTTTAAGTGATTTTGTACATGGCATGGTTGTTTGTTTTAGACATGCTGCTGAGTATTTCAGAAACTGCTGATCTACTGGGATTTTCACGCACAACCCTTTCTAGGGTTTACAGAGAATGGTCCGAAAAAAAGAAAATATCCAGTGAGCGGCAGTTTTGTGAGCACAAATGCCTTGTTAAAGGGTCACGAAACACCAAAACACATTTGTGAGCTGTTGACAGTCGTATATGTGTCCCACCCTGCTAAAAACACTATTAAGACACGTATATCTCACTAAAAAGTGAAACTTGGTTGTTTTTGCATTATTTCGAGAAAATTCGTACTTCCGGGTTGAAACGTTTTTTTGAAGCTGCGTCACGGCCATGAGATCTTAGTGTGTATTCCAGCGTGCAGACTGGACGTCTGTGCTAGAGTGTCCCGTATTACGTCTTTGAGTGTGTTGCATTCATTCATAAGTATGTCTTGGTTCAAACCAATCAGCCCGCTCTATTATGTATGCGCTGCAACTTCATTTATATGCATGCTAGCTTTCTTAGACTGTACCTGAAACTGTTCAGACGGCAGAGAGACGACACACAGCATGTTGTCAAAAGTTGTGGGAAAAGAATAAGAATTGTTTGGAGATACGGGTCAACAGTGTTGCTTTCATAATGTGAAGGTTTTGTTTTCATTTTTTTTCTTTATGAGCACGCTGCTGGACTCACGCGTGGATCCGTAGACGCGACGCGCAGCTGAATAGCATTTGTTTGGAATATTTTTTACTCGAGCATTTCTCATCAATGGTAAGATCCGGATTTGCTGCTCGTCTCCTTTAAAAAAAAGACGCAGCTCCAGTATGTGTTGATTATCCTGTCTACAGGTTTGGTAAGTGTGTGCAATCAGTACCCTTTCTTTGTTCATTCAGATGGCAAAGTTATAGTTGGTATGGTCAGCTGTACTCTTTCAGTGTTTAAAGACAGACCTTAGTCAAAATTATTTCTAAGTTACTTAGTTTACAGTACGTTAATATCACTACAATATTGAAAGATCCGCTGTAAATGCTGCTCTCTGTGTGTAAACACGTGAACACTGCAAGCAAACTTTTGCAGACCATCGTGTTGAATTTTCGCCGCATTTTGTGAGCAGAATAGTCTACACACACACAGGGCTTTCTGACCTACTGAGTGCATCTGAGTTACAGAGAAATGCAGAGGCTTTTTTCTCTTATACGATGTGCGGTATCAAACATTCCACCGTCATTAAACACACTGTCTTTCTCCCGTGCGTGTGTGCTTGTTTTTCCTCGGTCAGAAGTGCGTGGCCAAATGGCAACTCCCATTTTTATCCAAACCTTAGCCATTTTCCCACCCCTGACACTCCCACCCAAACAAAGCTAGACACACTCACTTTCCTGACTTTTTCCAAACTAGAGGTGTGAAAACATCCTGCTGAAATAAGGGGTTTCAGGGTGCTTTAATGCCAGAGGTCAAAGGAGAATGGCCAGACTGAAAAAGAGGCAGCAGTAACTCAAATAACCATATGTTACAAGCAAGGTCTGCAGAAGAGCATTTCTGAATGCACAACACGTACAACATTAAGGCAGATGGGCTACAGCAGCAGAAGACCACACCGGATGCCACTCCTGTCAGCTAAGAACAAGAAACTGAGGCTACAATTCTCACAGGATCACCAAAATTGGACAATAGAAGATTGGAAAAACGTTGCCTGGTCTGATAAGTCTTGATTTCTGCTGCGACATTCGGATGGTAGGGTCAGAGTTTGGCATCAACAACATGAAAGCATGGATCCATCCTGCCTTGTATTAATGGTTCAGGCTGGTGGGGGTGGTGTAATGGTGTGGGGGATGTTTTCTCGGCACACTTGGGCCTATTAGTACCAATTGAGAATTGTGTCAATGCCACAGCCTTCCTGAGTATTGTTACTGACCACAGTGTACCCATCTTCTGACGGCTTCTTCCGGCAGCATAATGTGCCATGTCATAAAGCGTGACAAATCTGCAGCAACTGTGTGATGCTGTCATGTCAATATGGAGCAAAATCTCTGAGGAATATTTCCAATACCTTGTTGAATCTATGCCACAAAGGATTAAGGCAGTTCTGGAAGCAAAAGGGGGTCCAATCCAGTACTAGTAAGGTGTACCTAATAAATTGGCTGGTGAGTGTATGATATTTAAAAAAATTATCACAATATGCTGTATGATATTAATTCAAAGTAACAATGAACTTTGTACATTGTCTATACATTGAGATTTATAGGGATTTGTAGCAGTATTGGGTCAAGTAATTCAATTACTTTCCAGACAAAGTTATTAGAAAATTAATCAAAATACAATTTTATTAATTTATTAGTAGTTAAACTTACTTACCCAACACTGCCCAGTATGATAGATTGTTCTTTTCCAGACACAAACCAACCAACAGATCTTTTTCAACAGATCTTTGTCTACAAATGTAGTGATACTCAGTTTAGATTGGTAAAACCTCTTCGATGCTTTGATCTCCAACTATTTCTCATTTATCACGAATGATTTTCTTTAAGAAGACCGCTATGGTGGCTCCTCTGATCATACATTAGCTTCCAATCTCTTAATGACTCAGTAAAGGTAGATCCCTGCTGTGTTTTGGATTTTCCATCCTCATCCTTTGATTGGGTGCAAGCAAGTCAAGCTCGGGAAGAGCAGACAACAAAAATATTCGTCATGAGGGCCAAACACAGAGATACTGCTAAATATGACATTACTCGAATTCATGGGACACTTCAGTATAGCATTTCTTTGAGTTTTCACTTTTTTCTTGATGAATCCAAAGCATAGCAAATGTCAGAGATGGGGTGAAAGGCACAGTGAGTGAGAGAGAGTGAGAGATATTAATTTCAGGGCCTAAAATAGTATAATTAGAGGAGCTGGTACTGTTCCTTTGCCTGCACTGACCACAACTACAATCGTTAGCTCTTGATGCTCTTCCGGTACGGGCCATTTATCACCACTTTCCGCTTGATATTGTTCCGTGTCTATTTTAGCGTTCGGAAGATGTTGCTGCTAAATGAGGGGATGCTTCATTTTCAGAGTAGGAAGTAATGCATGCTATTGATCTCACTAGGGTTTTGTGGGGTTTTGATGTGTTGTTGTTAAGTGCTTGTTAGTTCATTCACTATGGCACATTGGGTTGTTCTGTGTTATTCCTATGACATTCTGAGTGACTGTAGAGGTGTTTTTGTAGGTTTCTAGGGTGTTGCTAAACTCTTGTTGTCATTAAACTATTGATATCACTAGGGTTTTGGGAGTTGTTGCTGTGTTGTTGTTAAGTGCTTGTTAGTTAGTTCATTGTGGCATACTGGGTTGTTGCCAGTTTTCTCTTTAGGCAGTCACAAGGTTGAAGATAATTTAGGGTTTATTCTTTGCTTGTTGGATGTGAATAATTGCCTGAACATTGCTACATATTTTTGGATCCTCGCTTGATGGTTTGTGCTCAAGTGTGATTATGTGATAACCTGATTGTATACATTTATTTTATGCAAGCTATATTACATTTATTCAGATTTTCATAAAACGTTTATTGTTATTTTTATAATATTGTTAAAATATCTATTTGTTTATTAGCACTTTAAAGGAGGAGAAATAAGTATTATATGCGTTTTTCTAAAGAGTTATTTTTTGTCACCGCACCTGCGTCATGACGTCACTCCAGTGGCAGGCGCGCCCGTGATGCTCTTCATACATGCTGAGTGAACAGTAAATGAAGACATCACGAGAGCGCTTGTGTTCGGTGTTTTATTTCTTTATAACTTCATTTCAGGTACTTGCACACATACAAATGCACAAAGAACACTTTCGTTGAGAAAATAAACCGTTTAAAATGATAAGAAGTTATGTTAAGTAGTTAATTAATGAATGTATGCTATCAGTTTGCATGTTAGAGCACATGTTTAGCATATAGTCTCGCGGTTAGCGCGTTAGCCCGCTATCAGATAATAGATCGCCAAATACCAATGTTAATTGAGTGTATTATTTAAAATACTTAGTGATTATTAAATTATATGTCCATTGATCTGTATAAATTTGCCCTGTATAAATTTGGAAGAGTGCACAGGAGTATGTGTTAATGTAAATGTGTTTTATTAATAGTGTGAATATGTTTAAGTATTATACTGCTAAACTTTACAGATATAGTGTTAAGGCCAAGTGTGTGTATTTCAAAGTGAGAATGTGTAATAAGTGATTCACTGAGTGATTAGTGTGATCATATTTCAGTGATCAAAAGGGTCAAGTTGTAGTTTTCTGGTTAATAATAATAATTGTGTGTTTCATTACATTTACTATAGGAAACCATTTGGTTATTCATGATGTAATGTATTGTGTATTGAGTAATCACTGATATACATGCTGAGTTAACAGTAAATGAAGACATCACGAGAGCGCTTGTGTTCAATGTTTTATTTCTTTATTCTTTATAACTTCATTTCAGAAGTACTACATTTTGGAGGCACCGCTGGGATAGATGTTCGATGGAGTAACTCCCTGAGCGGCAGACCCATTTTGCAACATCATCCCCGTTTGTTATTCAGATAAACGTCGGTGTGAGGCAGTCAGAGTGGGTGGTGAACAGGACTGATTGAGCAGTGTGCACTTGGAGTTCACAGTATCCTAGTGGCATAAAAGTCAAGTCAGTGAGGTAAACACTTCTCCCAACAACTATGACAGCGACAGCAGTGCCAACGACGAAAGCGCCACTGAAGAGAGCAACAAAAACAGCGACAATATAGCCTCGCAGCTAGCAGATGCCCAAACAAAGCAGGATGAGGAGGAGCTGGACGATCTCCTGAAGAAATTCTGGCCACAAAAAAAGAACTGCAGCGAAAAACTAGATGAAAGGCAACAGGCCTTTTTTTCCTTAATGGCGATGGAGCTGAACATTAAAGACAGGACCAACATTAGGATGAATGCGATGAGAATAATCCAACAGGGTATCCGAAAAGGCGTGTGGCAAAAGAGCTGGAAACCTGGAATAAAACACAGTTTTGTTCAATACATAGTGGAAAAAATCAAAACATATGTGAACAAAAACCTGCAAGAGTGACACTTGAGAACATTCTTTTTTCTTCTTTTGTTTGTTTATAGAAATGTAGTACTTCTGAAATGAAGTTATAAAGAATAAAGAAATAAAACACTGAACACAAGCGCTCTCGTGATGTCTTCATTTACTGTTCACTCAGCATGTATATCAGTGATTACTCAATACACAATACATTACATCATGAATAACCAAAAGGTTTCCTATAGTAAATGTAATGAAACACACAATTATTATTATTATCCAGAAAACTACAACTTGACCCTTTTGATCACTGGAATATGATCACACTAATCACTCAGTGAATCACTTATTACACATTCTCACTTTGAAATACACACACTTGGCCTTAACACTATATCTGTAAAGTTTAGTAGTATAATACTTAAACATATTCACACTATTAATAAAACACATTTACATTAACACATACTCCTGTGCACTCTTCCTACACACATTACTCAGGTGAAAATAAACATATGAATTAAAGATGCAACAAAGAATACTAAATAACACATTAATATATATATATATATATATATATATACCACTTATAACATTGCATTTAATATGCTCCACATTACATTAAATGAATATAAACTAAGTGCATCACTTGCAGTCCACATAACTAGCAAAGAGGGCAAATTTATACAGATAAATGTACATATAATTTAATAATCACTAAGTATTTTAAATAGTACACTCAATTAACATTGGTATTTGGCGATCTATTATCTGATAGTGGGCTAACGCGCTAACCGCGAGACTATAACGTTATGCTAAACATGTGCTCTAACATGCAAACTGATAGCATACATTCATTAATTAACTACTTAACATAACTTCTTATCATTTTAAACGGTTTATTTTCTCAACGAAAGTGTTCTTTGTGCATTTGTATGTGTGCAAGTACCTGAAATGAAGTTATAAAGAATAAAGAAATAAAACGCTGAACACAAGCGCTCTCGTGATGTCTTCATTTACTGTTCACTCAGCATGTATGAAGAGCATCACGGGCGCGCCTGCCACTGGAGCGCGCAGTGACGTCATGACGCAGGTGCGGTGACAAAAAATAACTCTTTTTAGAAAAACGCATATAATACTTATTTCTCCTCCTTTAAAGTGCTAATAAACAAATAGATATTTTAACAATATTATAAAAATAACAATAAACGTTTTATGAAAATCTGAATAAATGTAATATAGCTTGCATAAAATAAATGTATACAAACAGGTTATCACATTTACTTGGGCGCTTTCTGGGTTGCTAGGCTTCTGCAAATATGTAATTGTTATTTTGATTGGTTTCTAGGATGACCAAGTATTGGTAGGGGGGGTGCTATTGCATGTGTAGTTACTAGGGTGTCCTTTGTTTTTAATGAAATATTCATAGGCCTTTCTGTGCTGTTATTGGTGTGTAGCTTGTACTATTCTTTTGCTGGGTTTAAACCAAATGTGTAATTATGTATAAGTAACTAAGTTGTATACAAAGTCAATGCAAATGTGCAAATATTGGTGAATTTTATTGGTTTTATTGAATTTTATTGTGTGTGTGTGTGTGTGTATGTATGTATATATATATATATATATATATATATATATATATATATATATATATACACACACACACACACATACATACA